AATTTAAGAGGGTCTGAATACTTTCCGTACCCACTGTATATATTAATTTAATTCATTTTGTAGGTTTTTGCTCATTGTTATGCTAATAAAATAATTTGTCATTAAAATTTTGTATTAAATTACAAAAAATATAGAAGCATTTTTACTTGGCCCTGCTTTACTTTAGAAAGTGTTCAAGAATAAAAATGTATATTCCAATTTTAGTGTTTTTTTTTTTTTTGCCATTAAAAGTTTTCTATTAAATTAGGGGGAAAAACTCTGTATTTTTACTGTTTTAGATTTTTTTTTTTGCCGTACAATTTTGCAGTAAATTACTTTAGGAAGTGTTTATGAAAAATATATATATTCACATGTATCTATTTTTAAGTTTTTATTAATTGCTGTGGTGAATTCAATGTAATTTATAAATAAAGTTTAGTATTAAATAATAATAATAAAAAAAAAGAATATAATATTTTTACTAGTGGTCTCAGAATTTTGGACCCTACTTTTATTTGAGAAAATATTTAAGAATTATTATTATTAATGTTAACAAAAATGTATAGTTTACCCAAAAATGAAAAAAAACTATTTCTTTTCATTTACTCACTCTCATGTCATTCTGCACCTGCATTAAATTTTTTCTTAGATCAAACACAAAAGTAGATATTTTGGAGAATGTTCGAGCTGCTCTTTTATGTCTCAAATCTGAGCAGACTCGACTTCATCTTTCTCCTACTATGATTACTGTCTGTTTTGTCCTACACCATTTCCTTCTTTGACCACAAGTGGTTCGGCTAAACCATCGGCTAACTTATTGATAGTGTCCTTTGTTAGATCGTGACCAAGGTTTGTTCAGTAATTCATGCCTCGAGGGCCACATACCTGAAATCCATCTGAACATCCTTGATTCAAGTTCTCTCGCTGTCCCTGCTGGATGATTTGTTGGCCTCGTATAGACATGAGGGAAAATAGTTATCTTTGGCCTTCAAAACACTTCACAGATCAATTTTAGTTCTTTTGTGATACATTTTGTTTATGCTGTGGTCAATAACTGTTACAATTCAACCACACTCGTCAGTTCTTTATGTTCACCGTGTGTTTGCATCTAGAGTTTGAAAGTTTTCTCACAGTTTAACACACTGAGAGAAAACTTCTAAATCCCGCTGAGAGGTTTTACCCATTGAGTTCCATATTTACCATATCCGTGTCTTCATAACATGGTTAATTCCCGTTCATTGGCGCCAGATGTTGATATAAAACACGTTGTGAACACTACACCCATTCATAAGTCCTGCAGGAAAGACACGAACTGTAATATTGGATGTCATGGACTTCGGGGTTTATCTCTGAAAGCGATTACTCGATTACGGCTGAGACTGGATACAGACCTGGAGAAGGTGAAAACAAATACAGATGATTTTTCAAGCATGGAAGAAAAATGAAATACTGTCCTGGTGTCCAAAAGTGTGAGATCACATTGAAAATCTGGGATTTATTTTCTAAAAAAGGATTATATAGAATTTAGAAATATTTTAGATGTTGCACTATATACTAATAATAATCTTTTAGGGTTTTTTTACTCATTGTTATTCTCATGATATAAGTTGTTTTGTATTAAAAAAAAGAATAGAAGTATTTTTATTAATGCTCTGAGACATTTGAATTATTTTCTTAAATAATATATTACACATTGTCATGGTAATAATACAATTTGTTATTAAAAATTTGTTCTAAATTAGATCAGATAATATAAGTATTTTTACTAGCTCTCATACTTTTATTTTAGAAAGTGTTTAAGAAAAAAATATGAATGTATCTGTTTTCTTAGGTTTTTATTCCTAGTTATAGTGATAATGTAATTTAGAATGAAAAGTTGTGTATTAAATTTAAAGAAAGACTACAGGATTCTCAGACTTTTAATCCCTACTTTTATTAAAAAAGAATAATAATTAAAATAATTAATATAATAATTATTGTAAGTTTTAATATTTAATATTATTTCTCAAAAACTTTCTCAAATAATTCTTAAAATCATTGTTTCATCTTTTATTATATAATAATAATAATAATAATCTATGTTTAAGGCTGCAAACAAACTTTTTCAACACTCTGATGACCTTACTTGGGTTTTTATACAAAATTCAGGAGTGAGATTGAACGAGCATCCATTCAGGTGTGATTTAATATCTGTGTTTTTGCTTCCCACAGCCCAAACCTGCCAGCCAGGCCAGTTTCCCTGCGAGAATGGACGCTGCATCCCGGAGAACTGGCGCTGTGACCGTGACGATGACTGCGGGGATCAGTCAGATGAGTCTTCGACATGTGGTGAGTCTTCCTCATGCGGAGTGCTTTGAAGTTCTTCTATCTTTGCTATCATAATTTTTCTGGTCTCTTTCATCGTCAAGCCTCCGTATATTTCAATTAGAGGCTTTTTATCAATCCGTAGTACAGCATTTTATCTTATTATATACTTTGAGCATGTCATTAAATAGCTAATTGCATTGAAACATGATAAAAGAAAAACACTTTGTTTTTTGCTTTGCATCCCGGAGAACTGGCGCTGTGACCGTGACGATGACTGCGGGGATCAGTCAGATGAGTCTTCGACATGTGGTGAGTCTTCCTCACGCGGAGTGCTTTGAAGTTCTTCTATCTTTGCTATCATAATTTTTCTGGTCTCTTTCATCGTCAAGCCTCCGTATATTTCAATTAGAGGCTTTTTAGCAATCCGTAGTACAGTATTTTATCTTATTATATACTTTGAGCATGTCATTAAATAGCTAATTGCATTGAAACATGATAAAAGAAAAACACTATTTGTTTTTTACTCGTGTTTTTAAGGGTTTTATCAGAATGAGATTCTGCCTTTTATGTTTATGTAAAAATCGTTGAACTGAACACATCTGTCGTTTTACGAATGATTTACAGAGAAATACATCTTCTGTTTATGAGTGACACCCATTGTAGTTTTACAAAACAGAAGAAACCTTGTACAAGGCCAGATGTGCTGTTTTGAGTTCAGTTTAATCTGATGGCCTGAGGCTTTTAACAACAATAGACATGCTATTGAGAGCCCAGACAAAACGATACCATAGATCTGAAGTGTTTTCTGTAGCATCCTGACACAAACAAAGAAAATGGCCTGCTCTGTTTTTATATTTCCTCTGTTGTTGCCTCTTTGATATCTTTTGATGTTTTTGTGCGTGGAGGTCGCACACTCCGTTCCCACCAAACTGCTTTGATTTGAGCTGTGAAGGTCACCTGCTGCTGTCATGATCGCATCTGATCTGTGACCCTATTGGATGGTTTTCTGCATTCTGAAATGAAAATGGTCCAATGGATGAGCAGAGTTATAGACTTTCTTTGTTGCGTGGCAGCCAGAATCTCAAAGAAAAGTCATGGTAAAATGTATCTCAATGTGAGAACATCAAATGGAATCCTCAAAAATGTACGTGATTTATCTTTTAATTGTTTTTTATAATAATTTAAGGATATATTTGGGGGACCCGAACGAGTATTTTGGTATGATGTCTATTTATTGTATATAAAAACTAATGTTAATGAGTTATGCGATTGTATTATTGGTATATATTTGTATGTATATTTTGTTTGTGTAGTTATATATGGATTATTTTGGATGATTTACAAATGTATTTGCTGTTTTTGGTTATATGTTTTGAGATATGTTTTTTTTTGTATCTTCGTGAGATTAGGTGTATTACGGTAATACATGTTTTAATGAGCGCAGGTGTTGCTTGGTAGCACATGGCACTGAGGAAGAGTTAATACCTGAAAACTTTTTTGCACATATTTTTGTGACCTTACTTATTACATTTATTTTTGTGATAAATGTAATAAGCCTTTATGACTGAATCTGGATGAGTGCGGATCTCTTTCATCTCTATATTATTGTATATTTTGGATCTACGCACCTTATGTCAGTTGTCTACCGAATTTTTGGACGAGAATTGTGTATCACATTAAGCCGACGAAATGAAAATGAGGTACAAAATCACAATGTGTCTTCATGCTTCCATTTGGTTCCACTGTCCTCAGTAGAGTTTGAAACCAGCAGACACCTTAAAATCAGCTCATCTTAAAGATTCAAACAATATCTCAACTGTATACACAGCGACACCATGGAAGAACTATTTTGGATTCCCCAAAGAACCTTTCAATGAACAGTTTTTAAAATAACCATTTTTATTTCTTAGTGTGAAGAACATTTTAATAATCTAAAGAACCCTCACTGTCCTCAGTAGAGTTTGAAACCAGCAGACACCTTAAAATCAGCTCATCTTAAAGATTCAAACAATATCTCAACTGTATACACAGCGACACCATGGAAGAACTATTTTGGATTCCCCAAAGAACCTTTCAATGAACAGTTTTTAAAAGAACCATTTTTATTTCTTAGTGTGAAGAACATTTTAATAATCTAAAGAACCCTATTTCCCCCCACTTTGAAGAGCCTTTTAGGCAATGGAAAGGTTCCACAGATGTTAATGGTTCTTCATGGAGCCATCAATGCAGAGCCAAGCACAGACATTTTGAGGGGCAGTGGCCCAAACCAAAAAAGGGGCACTAGGGGGGTGGGTGCTTGTTAATACAAATGATCCAGTTGTTATATACAATTAAAAGAGAAGACAGCACACTCTGTAATAATTTCAGACTTTATTGTAGATGTTTTGATAAGAATGGGCTCTCCCTCACTCTCTGAGCCTGCTTCTGCCTCATCTTCAATGGAAGTAGGGGAGAGTGGGGTAAGTTGAGCCAGTGGGTAAGTTGACCCACCCCCCATTTCTTGGCAACTGTAAACTTTTACTGTCATGTGACCATGTATTTTGGAACCACCCATCATTTCTGCCAGACTGTGAAAAGGAGAAACATATGGGGGGAATGGAAGGCACCCATTTACTTTAAAAACTGTTTTTGGCTTGTCAAAGTAAATTCTTTTGCAAAATTGTAGCATAACATATGGTTGTTACATCAAAGCAAATGGATCCAGGCCCAAAAATATTTATGATACATATAGGGGATTTAGCAACATACAGTATAAAACCATGCAAATCATTTAGCTAAATATTAGCCTGAACTGGTAAGCAACAGTAGCTATTTTTTCCATATGGCAGCTATGGGGCAAAGTAAGCCGAATGCTGTGGGCTAAATTGAGTCAGCATTTTAACTTACCCCGTCATAAGGCACTGTAGTTAAGTTAAATCTCTGAATTATAAACTGGAATTTTAATGTGATTGTCACAGTTATGAACTATTGTGTTTGTTTTAATTTGATCCCTCATGTTCCATTGACGTAGGCTGCGTTCCACTCCACTTTTAGACACGCACTCGCAAACTTCCCTAACCACTTCCCCCCGGGGCAACTCAGCTGATTAGGGCAAAGGGGCTCTAGCCACCAGGCCACCCCCCTGTGCACGGCCCTGCATCAATGCCTATAAAAACTTTATTTTTAAGAGTAAATGTAGAGATTCAATAGAAGAACCATTTTCTTGGTGTGAACATTTTAATAATCTAAAGAACCTTTGTCCACTAAAGAACCTTTGTGGAATAGAAGATTCCATGGATGTTAAAGGTTCTTTGTGGAACCATCAGTGCCAATAAAGAACTTTTATTTTAACGGTTCTTCATGGAACCATCAATGTGAATAATAAACCTTTATTTTCAAAAATGTAATGATTCAATATAAGAACCATTTTAGTTCTCCAAAGAGCCTTTCAGTGAACATTTCTTGAACCATTTTTTTTTTGGTGTGAAGAATATTTTAACAATCCAAAGAACTTTTTGTGGAATGGAAAGTTTCTATGGATATTAAAGATTCTTCATGGAACCATCGATGCAAATAAAGAGCCTTAATTTTTATGAGTACAGTATAGCATTAATTTGCATGTATTCGTTACCAATAGCTCACAAAATGGCTGGAAGTTTCTGTACTTGTGCTCAATGGTAAATTCTTTAAAAATCCTACAATGTGATTTTCTGGATTTTTTTTTCTCATTTTGTCTCTCATAGTTGAGGTATACCTATGATGAAAATTACAGGCCTCTCTCATCTTTTTAAGTGGGAGAACTTGCACAATTGGTGGCTGACTAAATACTTTTTTCCCCCACTGTATATATATATATATATATATATGCATTACATTCTGGAATCTCTTCATCATAAATACAAAGATAAGTCAAAGAAATTGTCATCATATAGAGAAAAAAATGAACAATGAATCCCTTTTTGTGATATTATTTGACTTATTACCATGCTTTGAATATCTCAGCGCTCCACGGCCTGCTATAAACCCGTTGTGACGGTGCGCGTCGTCTGCGACAGAAGCGTTCAGCTTGTGTAAATGAGAGATGAGAAATACCAGCAGATCTCTACCTCTCTTCCTCTGAGGGATGAAGTGTGTGTTTGAAGCTTTCTCCTGTGTTAGTAGTCGCATCTTATTACCGTTTAAATTTCCTCAGGTACCGTTCCAGGGTCTCACACGATCCGAGTATAGAGTAATTAAAGTTTATGCTTGGCTTCCTTAAATCAAAATCAAGCTGGCACTGGAAAGCCAACCACGCCGTCTGAGAAATGTTGAGCATCGCCCCGTTCGTAGTAGAGTCACAGCACGTGGCGTCGCACGGCTGCTCGCTTGCTCCCTATCGCGAGTCCATGTCAGTTTGCCACATATTTCCTGTCAGTAACCAGGGAACGTCTTTTCTAATGCATGTTTAATTTTGAAAGGTGGTGTGACGCCACTGTCGGTTTATTTTGAAACACGCATGAGGCAGGTTAGCGCTTCTGTCTCTTGAGAGATAAGACAGACGGTGCAAAGTTCAGTAGAAACAAACTCCGCATTTGTTTTTCTTGGCGGTGAAAAGTTGTTAGTCAAAGGCGTAATCTAAGCTTTTATTCTGTTCACATTTTCTTCTGGCGTGGGCCCAACGTTGACTTGTGAAGTTGAGTGAACTTGGAAGGGGAGTGTCCTTTGCCTTTCACTGCGTTGATTTTGTTGTTGTTCTTGTCCTCCATAGATTTCCCAACTTGTGAACCGCTGACCCAGTTCGGCTGTACTAATGGGAGATGCATCAGTGTGAAATGGCAGTGTGATTCCGGTGAGCTAAAGTGAATGAAGATCTGAATGTTTTTTTTATTTTTTTATTTATTGATCATATTAATAATAATTTGATATTAATTAGATTATAATAATTAGATTTTACGTCCCCCTTCTTCTGAAAAAGAAAAAAAAAATTCTAGAACTTTATTTCCAGGTAATAGAAAAGAAAAAAATAAATATTATGTGGTTGATCCCACTTTTGTTTTATTTGTCCTGCTTCCTGTTTTCCTCACATTCTTCCTGTCCTTACTTATTTCCTTGGTACTTTCTTTCACTACTTCCTTCCCTTCTTCCTTTAATTTCATTTTCCTACTCTTCTTTCTTTCTTTCTTTCTTTCTTTCTTTCTTTCTTTCGTCATTTTGTCTTTCCATCCTTCCTTTTGTCTTTAATCCCACTGTCCTTGTATTTGACCTGCTTTCTTTTTCCTTTCATTCTTCCATTTGTCCTTCCTTATTTCCTTGGTACATTCCTCTACTCCTTCTTTCTTTCCATTCTTTCTTTAATTTAATCTTTCAACTCTTCTTCCTTCATTGATTCCTTCCTTTCATCCTTCTTTCTTTATTTCTTTCTTTCTTTCCATCGTTCCTTCCATCCACGTAAACTTGCTTATTTCCTTCATCGATTCAGTCCGTTCGTCCTTCCTTTCTTCTTTCCTTAATTCCTTCCTACTTCTTAGATCTATTCTTCTTTCTTTATTTCCTTTTCTTCCTTTTCCATCCATCCTTTCTCTCTGTCTCACTCTCTCGCTTTCTCTCTCTCTCTATGTGGTTAATTTATTTGGCTTGTATTTTTGGAAAGTTTTTTTTTCTGTGATTGAAAATACTGTGTTTTAATAAAGGTACTTTTCAAATTCAATTATCTCTCTCTTTCTCTCTAGAGGATGACTGTGGGGATGGCAGTGATGAGGTGGGCTGCGTTCACGCCTGTTCGGTGGCTCAGTTTCAGTGCTCCAGCGGGAAGTGCATCCCTGAGCACTGGATGTGTGACGGGGACAATGACTGTGGTGACCTCAGCGACGAGAACACCACCTGCTCTAGGACAGGTGCTCATGATTGCACAAAACACAAACACAGAAACATTGACCTAAAACTGACTTCTTCCACCTTCAAAATGTCAACATTTGTAACCACTAAACTTCCATCACCAAGACTCTTTCCCTCCATCAGCGCTCTCTGCCGTTAACGACTGCAGCGAGAGAGAGTTCCACTGCCGTGGTGACGGCACATGCGTTCCCGAAATATGGCGCTGCGACGGAGACAAAGACTGTGAGGACGGTAGCGATGAATTTGCCTGTGAGGGAGCCAAGAGAATGTGTGACCCCAAGGCAAAGTTCACCTGCAAGGTCTCAGGTAGAAAGCAACATCCATTACATAATCACATTACATAATCAAGATTCATCCTTTGGAAAATTCTCTATAACGTCATCACTGGGTGAAGAGGCTCATAAATATGATCATTAATCGATTGGTTGTGGCCTGGGGTGGCGTGATGAATCAGCACTCATTCAAATTTTATTACATTACTGTTATTCCACTGAAAATGGGACTGTGATGTGAAAAGTCGCTTCCAGAAGGCCATTGATTATTACTTTGCTTCCCTCTAGACTGAATTAATCATGTTTAAGATGCATCGTTATGTACTGATTGAGGCAGACCGGGACTATTTTATTACCCTTCTGAGTCGGTTCAGGTAGACTTGTATTTGTGTTCGTGGGTAAATGTGTGCATGTGAATTGATCTGCGATGCTGAACTTCAAAAGTTAGAGGCTGGAAAGTAGAGCATTTGCCACTTTAAAAAAGCTGGAGGCTGGTTTATGAGAGGAACTTTTGAGGGGGAAAAATACCTTCTTCAATTTGTATACATATACATAATATACATAAGGGTTGTCAATTAACAGCAATGGCAGGTAATCAAAAACATGGATATTTTCCCCAAATGAAGCTAATTCAAAGAATTAAAAACCTGCTGAAAACATTTTAAACCAGCCTAAACTGGTTTCCTGGTCTTAGATGGTCTGTCAGACATGTCTATTTAAATAACCAAATGAATAACAATTAATCAAATTTAAATGGATATTTGCTTTAAAAAAATCCAAATACCTTCCTGCTGAAAAAAAAACAAACAAACTAAAATCAGCCTAAGCTGTTTGGCTGGTTATAGCTGGTCTTCCAGCCTGGTCATAACTGGTTTGCAGGCTGGTTTTAGATTGGTTTTAACCACTACTTTTGCTGGTCAGGTTGGGAGACCAGCTAAGACCAGCCAAACAGCATAGACACCCCCCCCAGCAGGGATTGCATTATTGTGACCCCCAAACCTGCTGGAATAATCTTAAATCAGCCTAAACTGGTTTCCTGGTCTTAGCTGGTCTCTCAGTCTTGTATAATTAACCAAATTTATGGAAATTAATCAAGTGTATTTGGGTATTTGCTTAAAAATTTATCAAATGAAGCTAAATTAAAGACTGCATTATTGTACCCAAGAAACCTGCTGAAAACATCTTAAACCAGCCTAAACTGGTCTTAGGTGGTCTCTCAGGCTTAGCTGGTTTTAGAGAGGTTTTGGGAACTTATTATCCTGGATGACCAGCTAGCTGTCTAGCTAACACCAACTTGACTTAGCTGGAAGATTAGCTAGAAAAGCTAAAGACCAACATGGGCTGGTTTATAAGCAGTTTTTTTTTCAGCAAGAAGTAAATATATTTTATGTCCATATCATTAATCATAAGCCTATCACTAGCCTACAGAAAACGTCCTGTGTGAACATCTCCTTATTCATACATTCTCTCGCTAAGTGCCCTCTGTAGCAACTTTATAGCATGTTTACATTAGCAATTTAAAGCACATAACGGTTTCACATTTGAGGTGTCACTGTGTGTAATTTATGCTGTGGAACAAAACGTGAAATTCGCACCTTTTTAATCACATCTAGCCTGGTTAGGAGATCAATTCAGGTAGTACAGAGACCTAGCTAAACAAAGTTTCTATAAAACCCAAAGTAAAGTGAATTAAAATCTGATTAAGTGAAGTCTTGGTGAAAGTCTAATGAACATGAAGACGCTATTTGGTCTTGGAAGATACAGAAAAGTAATGTATGTACTCATCGCCCTGTTTCACCTTCTTAAAGGACTTGTCTGGAGAGATAATGAGAGAACCGCTAATGACTTGTCTCACATACATGAAAAAAAATCCAAACACCTTAGGTTACTCAGTACACCATTAAGAAGAACTGATAAGGATTCTGTATGAAAATGTACAGATAAACTCATGTCTCACATTAAATTGGAGAAACATTAGCTTTTTATTATCACTTTGTATGCTTTAGAAAGCACTTGAATATGTTCTTATGTCACAAATAACCTTTTTATAACGCAAAAAATAAACAAAAACAAAGATTATGTACCCCATTATCGCTAAAGATACAGCAAACACCAAGGACCAAAAAGCACTGTGAAACTGTATGTAGCCCTTTGAGAAATGATATGCTCAGATATGCTAAGAGTGTTTTGGTTAAAGAAAAAGTGTGCAGAAAGCAGATAGCTTTGTAGAGCAACAACGCAGAGAGTTAATGATGTTAAAAAAAGTCCTTTGTAACGCATTTGTTTTCTCATGCATAGGGAAATGCGTTAGTAAGGACTGGGTGTGCGACGGAGACATCGACTGCGAGGACCAATCGGATGAGGAGGGATGTGAAATGTCCGTCTGTAAGCCTCCAAAGTTTCCCTGCGGCAATGACACGTCTGTGTGCCTCCCGCCAGAGCGAATCTGTAACGGTTGGAGGGACTGCGCGGACCATTCCGACGAGGGACCATACTGTGGTGAGTCATGGGATGTGGGTTGTTAGTTAACGCTGACTGGCCCCTGACACTAATGATGATATAAGGTTTAATGTGATGTAGACGCGTTCATGAATGTTCAACCAATGAACAACCAATCAGATTTCAGGTTTGGTTTAAGGTTAGACATGGGCATTGAACGACATTGTTTTGAACCAATACTTTTCTATTGTTTAAGGGATGTACTGTTTTAGTTCTTTTATATCCCAGATTTTTTTCCCTTTTATAGATGCCTGTTATGATAGATACTCTGATGCCTCAGAGTAAGTAAATAAATACTTATACTTTTGTAAGAAAAATTTAATAATTAATAATGTATTTTCATCTATTTAGATTTTATTTAGATTAATTTGATTTGATAAAATATAGATGTTTTATTTATTTATATTTTTCTCTCTGGAAGTGCTGTCATTTTCACTCAATTTCATTCTTCTTTTTTTTTCTTTCCAAAAATTAGTTTTAAGATAAATTTTACTCTTATAAAAATGATAAAGCATAATATTCTCTGCATTCTAATATTATGCAGAATTGTTATATTTCATAGACTCCCAAATAATGTATTTATATGCTACTTTAGTCATTAATTGATGTGAAATAAATGGATTTGTTCCTTTTTTTGTGGCAAGTGTACAATGTGTTCTCACACAGTGATTCCGGATGCTGTGTGTGGCTCTTGGGGGATTGGAGGATTTTAGTGAGTGTGTATTAAGGTTCATTTAGGATTGTCAGTATCTGTATGATATATATATATATATATATATATATATATATATATATATATATATATATATATATATATATATCTCATCCACCGTCTAGTTGTGAATCACCTTATTTTTGGTATAAAATATGAATCAAAAATGAGGAATGGCGCAACAAAATCTCTCATACTCTCCAGTCATATGACATTTAGCTGAAATATCATCAGATATTGGTTCCGTCTGTCAGAGAGGAAATTTGACTGTGAATTTATTTCCTCCTTTCGACCAAAATAATTAGGTTTTGTTCAGGCAGGCAGCAAAAATCCAACCCATATCTGTTTAATTGTTTGTAGCAAAAACCGCATGGAATCTGATTTTAACAAACCTCATCCAAACCGAATCAATATTGTGGTTTAAAATCTGATTAAAATCCAATGTGTGTCAGATCAGGTCGGGGTTTGTTTTCGGAGTTCGGGACGTGACTTCAGTGAAGTACGGCTAAAGCTATAGTGTTAAACACTCACAAAAAGCGTCTTCAGCTGAATTCCCTCTTTTATGCACACACACGTGTCGTTCTCTTTGTAATGAATAGTGAATGAGCAAAGGAGCGAGCCGTTTTGAACAGCGTGTGCCAAATTTTCTCTTTCTACAATGACAGCTTCTTTTGTACGTGTCTTAGCACAAGTCATCACTATGGCAACCATGCAGATGCCAGATTTTGAGTACACTAAAAATTTTGAGTATGTTAACAAATGGATCAGATTTTTTAAATATTTTAATAGTTGTTTATACATATATTTGACTTCTTTTCAATTATTTATTCATTTATTTGTTCCAATAAATATCTATCTATCTATCTATCTATCTATCTATCTATCTATCTATCTATCTATCTATCTATCTATCTATCTATCTATCTATCTATCTATCTATCTATCTACATACATCCTTAAATATAATTTTATTGAAAGCTATAATTTACTTTTTTCCTGAGGTTTTCTTAAATTAAGGTACTTTCTTAACCATTTGTAAATTATATTGAATACATTAATAAAATGAAAGGAAAACAATTTTTCATTAAGATAAGCATAAGAAATATATTTTCTGAAAGTCTCTTAATATCGCAAGAATTTTGCTTCTCTAAAATAAAAACAAATATTAAAAATAGCATTTATTTATTTAGAAAATAAAGAATTTAAGAATGTGCTTCTCAAATAAAAATATAAATTATGTACATGATAGCATTTGAAGACTGAGGTTCCAAAACGCGATAAACGCCATTTAAAAAAAAATTGAGTTTCTGTCAAAATCAGTATTGTATCTGGTCGGTATTGAAAAGTCCATTTTTAATTTTACGCAAAATGCGATATCCGCCGAGTTATTCTGTCATGTTTTCTCCCTTTCTATCCAAACCGCGACAAACGGCAGTCTCCCTTCTCTGCAGAATGAGATATATCAGCTCAACCAATCACAGTGCACCATTCCACGCACTGTAGACAGTAATGGCGGTGCTTTGAATACACCCGGTATCCTAGTTTTCCTCATCTATTTTGTACTTTGTGATCAACAAACAAACTTAGGGCTGCATGATAAATCACATGTGATTGTCATGCGCATCTCGTGATTAATAGTAAATCTCCATCACGTGGAGCGGCATTTAATACACAGAGCTGTAGACCACTGCAATATCGTGTTCATAATCGCAGATGAGTTCATATGAACGCGATATTGCGTAGCTTGTCAGTGTAATGTTTTTATTTATGCCATTTATGTTTTTGTTAATACAGCGTATAGCACTAGTCAACTAAATTAATGCAACATGGCAAAGATGAATGCACTTTTGGAAGTTGAATGGAAGGGAAATGTCATTTTGGCATTTCTGTGGTTTAATGTGAAATTGTTGTTCATGTATGTTCATGATGCAATTTTCTTTTATTGTTGTAATTAATTTATAGCATTAACAAGATGACCAGTTGAATTCATTTTGGGAGCGATGACTGATTGAATGTATTTTAGTCCAGTGCCTGTATATAAGATTAGTATTGACCAAGCTCAGAGGCTGTCATATGTGGATCAACTTACTATGTTGTGTATTTTCAACAGTTTCAATATGAAAAATAACTTTTATATTGATTCAATGGATTTATTTCATTTTGGAGAATTGTTTTTATTTTTTATAATAAATCTTTGAAAATCAAAATCTGGATTTGAATTTTGAATGTTATTATAACCTAAATATGCTATGTGAAAGTTTGAAACAGAAAACACAGTTTTACTCAAATTAATCAAAATGGATTTATAGCGTTTTGGAACCAAACTCTTCATTTACTTATTTATTTTAAATTTTTGTCCTTTAGAAAAACATTTAGCCATTTAAACTAAGAATAATAATACAATATATTATCTGAAAATAGATCTTAATAGCTTAATAAACTTTTGCTTCTCGAAAATAAATAAATATGTATAATTATACAATTATGTAAATTATACGATTAATTAATTTATGTTTATTTACTTTTTTCTTTGTAATAAACTTAATTGAAAATATATTTATTTTAATATAAATTATTTTATTTAACTCTATTCTATTCTATTCTATTCTATTCTATTCTGTTCTGTTCTGTTCTGTTCTGTTCTGTTCTGTTCTATTATCACTGACCTTTATTAAAACAGTAGTGTAATTTGTGTTGGCACTGCATTGAAAAGCTGTAGCCCGAATCCCAGCAAGCACAGGTTCAGCGGGCCTGAAAAGAGCATTTAACGTCGCATTTCAGTCTAGTGTCCCTGTTAATTTTAAAAGGGCCAATCAAACCCCCATTAACTTTAAGCACGCTCTCAATGTCCTTCTAAAATATCTTGGACATGACAATGAAAGCTGGACTGAACCCAAATCCTGCAAAGCCGCTGGCAGAGATGAATGCACTCGTCCTGGTCAAGACAAATACAAAATCGTCAAAACCCAATGGTAATAGGTAATAGGACTAATCATGATGAATGAGCCTCTAGATCATCTATCTATCTATCTATCTATCTATCTATCTATCTATCTATCTATCTATCTATCTATCTATCTATCTATCTATCTATCTATCTATCTATCTATCTATCTATCTATCTATCTATCTATCTGTCTGTCTATCTATCTATCAAAGATCCATTATTCCTCTGTTAAAACTTTTAAATTTGCTGTACTGTATTAGTAACTTCGCTCAGACCTCACGACTCCTCAGTATCACTAGTGCCAGATTGTACTCTAGCTTGATTGAATGTACTTTCACTTGTCATTTTATACCTTTTCGAGCTCTTTTTCCCTCATCAATGATCCATTTCTGTTCCCCACATCTCTTCTGCCTGTGCTTTGATGTTTCCATTTGAGAGTCTAGCACATTTTTATTCCCTTCACAACTCCACCAATGTGACTGCCTTGAGGTTTATGGATACATTATCCTCTGCCAGTGCTAGACGCTTCATTTAAACCTTGAAACCACTTGCTGTTCAAGGTGGTGTTACCTTGAATCCCTCGTGGCCTCAATTTTTGGGGGAAGATCAAACCAATGTATTTCTTATAGTTGTCACATAATCGGTTGGGATTAATATTTTAGCATAGAATTACTATATAGCCACTGTCCTGCTAAATCAAAGAGTTTAAAAAGCTTTATTTTTTTGGTTGTAATATAACCTTTCTATGCCTCAATAGTTTATCCCATGAGCTTGATTTTGAATGTTCATTTAAAAGAGTTTATTTTCCCTTCAATTGCGAAGCCATTTGCAACAAAGGTACGCTTTATCATCACTGTTAGAAATAACATTATTGCGCTCATTACCCAAGAGGGTAGCTGCTATATCCTGCTAGTTGACAACTTTAGCTAATACTTAACCACGTTTTTCCATTCAGCATCTCACCATGGGACCACTTCAGTGACGTACCGTCACATTTCATCGTCCAAACCTACAGTCTTCAGCCATAAATCACATTAAAGTGATACCAAGGGTGGAAAAGGCTTGGAGTTCAGTGCCTCTGAGCTTTCATTAGAAGAAAAACTAAGAAGAACAGATATCCTGGAGCAGCATACCTACAGTATATGGTACACTGAAAAAAAAGTTTTAGTACTGGTTTAGTACCTTAGAGTGTAATATGTCCCCTTAAAATGCTATTATGAATCTTTTAGGGGTAAATATGGTACAGATATGTTCCTTTGCTGCCCCAGTGAGATGCTGTTGTACCCCTAAATGGAGCATGTCTATGAAATGGAATAAGAAGTCATTGAGTCGGTCCACTTGCTTTCAATCGCTCTAGCTGCCCAAGAAGCATATAGCCTGGAGCACCAAACTCTTTCTTGTTTGTTCATTCTCTGCTATTTCCTTCAGCTCCTCCAAACGTCTACGGCTCCCTGCTGTTTGGCCGTATGTCTAGTGAGGAATTCCATCAGTTCTTGCCGCCTCAGTGTTCGGACCCTGCTATTTTCTTCTGAAGTGACAGTTTCTTCCGTTCTTTCTGACAGTAACCCCCTTCGCCTGCATTTTTTCTCCATCTCAGATGAGTGTTCAGTGAGGAAGGGCGGCTGCAGTCACGAGTGCTCAGTGGCGCCGGGTAAAGGGGTCGTGTGTTCCTGTCCGGCCGGGTTCCAGCTGGGTTTGGACGGCCGGATATGTGAAGTCCTGGATTACTGTACCAAGCACCTACGCTGCAGCCAAGTGTGCGAACAACACAAGAATACTGTGAAATGCTCCTGCTATCCAGGCTGGAGTCTTGGACCCGATGGAGACAGCTGTTATAATACAGGTAAACAGCGGCATGATGATTCTTGGTTGGCCTGTGGTTAACGATTAAAATTTTTCACATGAAAATTAGAGGTTCAATCTCAAACAGGGTTAAAACCTGACTACAGTCCAAACCGCAAGGCAATTAACCTCAAGGGAACCAAATGACCCTTCATTTCTGAGCTGTAAATAACACGGATAAATGGCTGCAATATGACAAGTAAGTTAATTGGTGACTCATGCATATTTATTCATATTTACTTTCGGAGAGAGGATTGTGCAGTCAGTTTTAAGGTGTAAAATGCATCTGTGATATGTATGCATTTAATTTTAGCGGTTTGACTTTACAAGAGAGCAAAAGCGGGCTGGGAATTATCAGAGAGTTCAGACTCCGGCGCACTTTATGTGAGTGGAGAGGAAGATATGCACAAAGAGCACTCAGCAGCATGTTTTAATAAAAAGAAAAATAAGCTTTCACTGAAACACACAGCTCAGTTTTCAGAGCTGTCAAAATGCATTTAGTTTTTGTCCGAACTGAAACTGCCAGCTATAATTCATATTGCAGTCCACATAAGGTTTCCTCTCCAGTCTCAGACTTAAAGAGATGTGTATTGTGTGCCGCATACCATTTTTTTTTTCATGAATCATTTTCAAATTTCTTGCCTTTTTTAAATTTATTAATTTGTATTTAATTTAATTTGTAACTCAATCTAATTTAATTTGTAATTAACTAAATGTTTATTTTATTAAATAAGGCATTTTTTAAATTTGAACATCTCAGCATTTCAATTTGTTATGACCAACTAGTCAATTAATTAATGTTGCACAATTTGTTTTAGACTGTTTTCTTTTTTTTCAGTTTACAGATGGCTATTTACAGAATTCTTATTCTTATTCTTCATTTAAGTGATATTTTAATGCTTTTTCATTAATAATTTTACCAGTACAATGCAAAAGTGACATAGGCCTACGTGTGATTTGTGATATTTAATTTAATTTAATTTAACATCTTAACATTTTGAATGTTTTTTGGTAATGTTTCTTAACTTGACTTTGTCACTTGGCAGATAAAATCTCTCTTTTTGTCAATTTTACATTTAGTGATTTAGCCTACAAATGAGTAACACATCAATTTATTTAATTTACTAGCAATTTATTGTAAAACCAATTCCTAAAATACACACAGATCCTTTTTATTGGGATTTCATAGGACCAACAAGTCAACGTTAGACTTGCTTATGCATTTTCACAGTCCAATGCAGCATGCATTCTTGTTCTCTTTACCGATTGTTTTCTGTCTTTTTGTAGATCCTTTTGAGGCATTCATCATTTTTTCCATCAGACACGAAATTCGCCGCATAAACCTGCAAAGGGGCGACTACAGCCTGTTGGTCCCCGGGCTCAGGAACACCATCGCTTTGGATTTCCATTTCAGCCAGAGCCTGCTGTATTGGACCGATGTCGTAGAGGACAAAATTTACCGTGGGAAGCTGTCAGAAGGCAGTGGTATGATTTAAAAAAAAATTTTCATAGTTTATGACAATGTTAATATTTATGACTTAATTATACCATAAAAGCTATAATATGATTCAGTGGAATTTACAGTGCATACTGTAAATGTCATAGTGGGACTGAAAACTGTAGAATTGAAAAAAAAATAAAAATATATATATATATATATGTTTGTGTCAAGGAATTATTTTGGATGAAAGTACTTTTAGGTGCAACCTCCTGCTACTCCCATTTTCCCAGAAAAAATGTGTTTTCCTTGCCTGTCACTCCAGTACCAGTGGAAACATGAATAATGTGTCAAAAATATTGTATAAATATTGTCAAACCTAGCATATACTACAAGTTGCATTCAGTCCAGAATTTTTTCAAAGTGATAGTGCTGATAGTGTTGACAAAATAATTGAGGTAGTAATTTTTTATTATATATATATACTAATATATATATATATATACAAGTGCGTATAGATATAGATAAAAAGATCTGTTTTATTTATTTTATTTTATTATTATAAATATTATTTAATTATTTACTTACTTTAAAACAAAAAAAATGCTACATTTATGGTAAGTTATGTCATGTTATATTTAAAAAGATCAAGATAAATGTTATTTTTTTCCATGTCTCACGAATAATGGTTCTTATTTTTATTATTGTTGTTCAGAATATTGTGAAGAGATTTTTTTTAGCTCTGTTTTACGCTTAAAAAGCAAAGTCAGTCTACCAACTGTGTAAATATTTCAGCTTCAAAAGCTCCCAAAATGTGAGAAGTAATTTACACTTAGATCACAAAAGAACTGATGAGTAGATATTGAGAAATTTCACACGCTTCATAGCGTACCAAATTACACTCACCAAATGCCAAATTCAAGTAATCTTGAGCTTGACAGACCAGCTAGCAACCATTTATTTCCTTCACAATAACCCAGTTTGTTGTCCCGGCAGGTGTTTCGTCAATCGAGGTGGTCGTCCAGCATGGTCTAGCCACTCCAGAAGGCCTTGCTGTTGATTGGATAGCGGGAAATCTCTACTGGATTGACAGTAACCTGGACCAGATTGAGCTGTCCAAGCTAAATGGCGAATTACGAACCACCCTCATCGCCGGGGGTATGGAACACCCTCGGGCCATCGCTGTGGACCCTGGCCAGGGGTACGTTTCTCAATCCAGTTGAAGAAAATAACAGCAAAGCGCCAGTTTTCCAATTACTTCATAGCTTTAATGAACAACTTCAGTGATTGATAGCTCCATTCGGTGGTTTGCGAATCGTAATGAACCCATCTAATCACCCATAAAGGAGTTTTTAAATGATTTCCAAAAGGGATATTACCATGAAATTGGGCCATTACACATTCTTACCTGTTTTGTAATTGCGCTAATGCTAATGCTAATGCTAATGCTTTTAATGAGGATGTGGTTTGCAAGTAACCCTCATTTGAAAGTCGTTTAAGGTAGATTTTAACATGGAGTTTTGTCGTCAACAGTGCCTTGTTCTGGACCGATTGGGACGCCACATTTCCTCGCATCGAAGGTGCTTCCATGAGCGGGAAACAGCGGCATGTGGTTTTCAAGGACATGGACTCCGGCGCTTGGCCCAACGGACTGACCTTGGACCACATGGAGAGCAGGATAGTATGGACAGACGCCCGGTAAGAAGCACGCACACAAGACCGTTAGGGAATGTTTTGGATTGAAACGAGAGGGTGGAATTGGGAATTGAGCTCGGATTCTGTCGTTTGTAACAAATTCAAGCACTCGTTTGGTTGAATGATTGATGTGTTTTTGTACCGGTTCAAATTCGAGATCCACCTCTGCTGGCGATGAAATGACAGGCCGACAGAGATATGCTATTACTATTGATTATAATTTTGCCCATCAAGTATTTTTTCGTATTTTACAAAGCAGCGGCGTAGCAATTTTGCTGTTTTGACACATTCATAAACTCTCATCTTGAATTTCTCACAGCGATAGTTTAATTCCTCTTGTGCCCGGTGGCTCCAAACGCACCGCAAATTAATATTCAGATAATGAGATTCTTGGACTTAATGAGGAATCTGATCAATTCTCAGCTTTCGATTACCTCATTTTTGTCTCTGCTCTATTCAGATCACACATCTCTCTTTCTCTCTCAGTCTGTCAACAGCATTTCTTTCTTTTTTTTTCTCTCAACCGTGTCTCATCATTAAGGCATCAGTGCACTTTAAAGTCTTTCTTGCAAACTATTTTTACTGTTTTGTTTTTACTGTTTTTTTATTTCGAGTACACAGTCTTTGTAGTAAAAATTTCTTGTGCCCGGTGGCTCCAAACGCACCGCAAATTAATATTCAGATAATGAGATTCTTGGACTTAATGAGGAATCTGATCAATTCTCAGCTTTCGATTACCTCATTTTTGTCTCTGCTCTATTCAGATCACACATCTCTCTTTCTCTCTCAGTCTGTCAACAGCATTTCTTTCTTTTTTTTCTCTCAACCGTGTCTCATCATTAAGGCATCAGTGCACTTTAAAGTCTTTCTTGCAAACTATTTTTACTGTTTTATTTTTACTGTTTTTTTATTTCGAGTACACAGTCTTTGTAGTAAAAATGTAGAATATGTTCATATATTGTTATATATATATATTGGTATAAATATACAAATGGAAACATCAAAGCACAGGCAGAAGAGATGTGGGGAACAGAAATGGATCATTGATGAGGGAAAAAGAGCTCGAAAAGGTATAAAATGGCAAGTGAAAGTACATTCAATCAAGCTAGAGTACAATCTGGCACTAGTGATACTGAGGAGTCGTGAGGTCTGAGCGAAGTTACTAATACAGTACAGCAAATTTAAAAGTTTTAACAGAGGAATAATGGATCTTTGATAGATAGATAGATAGATAGATAGATAGATAGATAGATAGATAGATAGATAGATAGATAGATAGATAGATAGATAGATAGATAGATAGATAGATAGATATAGATATATATTGTATAGGTTGTTATTTTACTTCAAGCAAACTTTGATTTATTTTGAAACTATACTTGGTTGATGTCAGTTAACTGAGTTTTTGTAATTCTTAAACAGGATTTATTATTTTTTATTTAATTTAGTTGATTTAATTTGATTTAATTTTGATTTGAAACAACTTGGTTCCATTCAGTTAATTGGAATGTTATAATTCAGAGTTAAACAATATTAAAGTTGTTTTGTTTCAGTTTGATTCAGGTTGAGTTGACTCGAGAAAGTTGAGTTAATTTATTTGTCATGATTAAGATAATTTATTAAGAACAAGATTTATTTTAAGATCTTTTAAATGTATATTCAATTTATTTATTTTTAAGTTCGAATTGATTCAGTTCAGGTTGATTTGATTTGATTTGAAACAACTTTGTACAGGTCATTTAATGAAACTGTCGCAATTCAGAGTTAAACGAGATTATGTTTGATTTGATTCAGTTTAAATTCAGGTTGGTTTGACTCGACTCAGTAACTAAATTGTTGTAATTCAGAGTTCAAGATTTATTAAGTTAGATTTGATTTGAAACAACTTTTGTTAACTGAATTGTCATAATTCAGAGTCAAACAAGATAAGGTACGATTTGATTCGGTTTGATTCAGGTTGATTTGACTAAACTAAATTCAGCAAATGTGTTTGTTATAATTTAGAGTTAAACAAGATTTATTAAGTTGGATGCATTTTGATGTTGATTTGATTTGAAACAACCTGGTTCAGTTCAGTTAATTTATTTGTCGTAATTCAGAGTTAAACACGATTAAGTTTGATTGAATTCAAATCAGGTTGTTCTGATTTGATTTGACTCAGATTAACTTTAGTTTAGTGAACTGAATCGATGTAATTCAGAGTTGTATTTCAGGTAGATTTGATTCAGCTCAGTTCACTTAATCGAACTGACACAATTCAGAGCTAAACCAGATTTGCAGAGTTTGATTCTAGTTAAGTCAAATCAAATCATCCTGAACTGAACTGAATCAAATCACACTTAACAAATCTGGTTTTTAATTCTGAATTCGACTCAGTTCAGTTAATTGAACTGATGTAAATCAACATGAAACAAGATTGAATATATTTGATTCAGTTTTGTATTGTGTAGAAATGTGTATTAGGAAAGTGAATAAGGTGGATTGCATTTCATGCTGACTTTAAAATACTCTAATGATGATAATTAGAAAATTATTTGTCCTTCCTCAGATCTGACGCTATATACTCTGCTCTATATGACGGCACGGGGATGATTGAAATTCTTCGAGGCCACGAGTTCCTCTCTCACCCCTTCGCTGTGTCTCTCTTTGGAGGGAACGTCTATTGGACCGACTGGAGGACCAACACTTTGACCAAAGCCAACAAATGGACCGGAGCCAATGTAACTGTGATCCAAAAAACCAGCGCCCAACCCTTCGATCTGGAGATATACCATCCTAGCAGGCAGCCACAAAGTAAGAAACTGTCATTCAAAAGTGTCTGGAGGGACTTTGTAAGAGATGATGATTTGAAGGATCCAACAGAACATAATGAGAGAAACCTCTAGATTGAGTGAAGTTGTCATGTTGGATTAACAGCATACAATCACCCAGTTTTGGCACAGTCCCGTTTCTCACTAGAAGATTTTAGAGACTAATTGGCTGCAAAGCTGTCTCGTCAAGAACTCCCTTGACTCCCATCAAGAATTCCCATAATTTCTGAAACATGAAACAGACAGTCAAACACTACAAGGTCACAATTCTCGTCTGAATTTCCTATTAAAAACTAAATGCACTTTCAATTAGAACCAAAAGATGTACCAAAACAGAAACAAAAGATTGTTCTTTTGTGAAATGATTTATTTTATTAGTTTAGTTTAGTTTAGTTTATTCAGAACCAAAAGACGTACCAAAAGAGAAACAAAAGAATGTTTTATTTTTTTATTATTTTTGAATGGATTAATTTAATTTAATTTAATGTTATTTAATGTTATTTTATGTTTTGTTTTATTTTATTTTATAGTTTAGCTTAGCTTAGTTTAGTTTAATTTATTCAGAACCAAAAGTCATACCAAATCAGAAACAAAAGAATGTTTTATTTTTTTATTATTTTTGAATGGATTAATTTAATTTAATTTAATGTTATTTAATGTTATTTTATGTTTTGTTTTATTTTATTTTATAGTTTAGCTTAGCTTAGTTTAGTTTAATTTATTCAGAACCAAAAGTCATACCAAATCAGAAACAAAAGAATGTTTTGTTTTTGAGTTCTTTTGAGAAATATTTATTTTATTTTATAAAAAAAAAAAGATCTATGAGCATTTTTCCATACAAAAAGCTGTATATTGGTATTTTATTTCTTCTTTTATTTGCCCCCCCCCCCCCCCCCAATAAATGAACATGCTACAAAAACGTATTAAATTATAATAAATTAGTTATTAAAATGTCATAATTTTGTTTGTTTTGCATTTTCTGAAAAGCTGTGACTGCATGTTCATGTAAAAACTCAAGCCGCTAATGTGTTCTGTGTGGGTTTTAATGGGCTGTTATAAGCTGCTATGGTGTTTTTGCTGGTTGCTAGGGTGTATTGGGTGGTTGTTTGCTGGTCTAAGTCAAAAGAGCCACCCCTAATGACCTCTGGGTAATTTCAGTTCAGTCAACGCTGAACATGCGCTTGAAATCTGTTCCTCCTTCTGTAACCCTGTTTTAATTGGCCTAATAGAATTTGTTCACCATTTGGGCAATAAAGTACTAAAGAAGAGCCAAAAAGCATCCCATAAATAAAACACAATTGAATCAGCCCGTGATGGCTGTCCAGCATCTTTTCCCTTGGGTGTACATCTGCCAGATGTGGAAGAATCAGCCTTCTGTCAACACATCGAGCTTGGCATCATCCACCAAAGCTAAATTACACCCTTAATGGCGCTAAGAGGCTCTTTGTTAACTCATGACTCCAGCTAAACACTTATAATGGGCTGGCGGAAACATTCACAGAGTGTTCTAGATAGTGATTGGCAGCTATAAACCTACGGTATGGATAGAGTGATATGCCGCACAGATGTGTGAAGGATTTTTGCGAGATTGTGGGTCTGGTTTTTCATGTTCTGATCAAAATTGCTTTGAAGTACAACCTTCGACTATGTACAGTCCTTGAAAATGAGGATGAAAGTGAATCTCGAGTAAATCATTTTTAGAATTGTATATTTAGACTCATCGTCTCTTGCTTTGAACCTGGTTGTTTCGAAATGTACAGGCTGCTTTAGAAATGAGTGTTTTTATGGCAAAAGTGTGCTCCTGAGCTTTTAGATTGAAACATTAATGATCGTTTTTCTAACTTTCTATTTTTCCTGCTCTTGGCTGTGTTTGTCCTGTGGTTTGACTTTACTTTGTTTTTGTTTATTATGCTGATAATTTGTGCTTTTGTTTTTTGCATTTGCTGTTTTTGTTTTCTAGGCTTTTCTTATATTTATTTGTTTTGATAAATGGTTTTATATCATGCCATTTGAAGCATTTTGAATCTAAATGGTGCTATATAAATAAAATGTGTTATTATTAAATATATTATTGTTATTATGTTGAAGGTTTTCAAACATTGTTCTCTGGAACCCAGGTTAAAATGTTGATGTTTTTTTATTTTATTTCTTTTCATTTCATTGCATTTCATTGCATTGCCTTACAGTTTCTGAATCAAGGAACCATTCCAAGTAATTTAATTAATAGAGTTTAGGAGCTTTGGACTGAACTATTTAAAATATTTTTTTATTTTTTTTTAATATATATATATATATATATATATATATATATATATAGTTATTGGATGTGTTTGTCCTTGATAGACTTTCTTTTTTTTGAAAAAAGATTTTGATTAAAAATTATATTATTTATTTATTTATTTATTGTTGGTTTTGCTTCATTTGCTTGTATACTTATCTTTTGTAGCTTTTTATATTATGTCCTTAATTTGAAGCATTTGAGCTGAAAAAGTGCTATATATATATATACATTTTATGAAAGGTTTTAAAACATTGTGATCTGGATTATTTATTTATTTATTCAAATTAAATAAAAAATGTGGTACTTAATTTTTCAATTAAGTAAACATTCTTTATTTTTTTTCCATGTAATATCTGAAGTGAATAGGCGATACTACAAAATTAAATCATTTTAATTAAATAAATGAGCTTTAGCCTGAACCATTACTTGTAAGTTTTCTGACCTTTTTCTGTGTCTGCTCTTGGCTGTTTTTGTCCTGTGGCTTAGCACCTGCTTTCCTCTGTTTGGAGATTTTGTTTATAGCGCTGAATGTCTGTTCTGTGTCTGTTTTCATTACCCGTCTGCGTCTGAAGAGGCGATAAAAAATGTGGTACTTAATTTTTCAATTAAGTAAACATTCTTTAATTTTTTTCCATGTAATATCTGAAGTGAATAGGCGATACTACAAAATTAAATCATTTTAATTAAATAAATGAGCTTTAGCCTGAACCATTACTTGTAAGTTTTCTGACCTTTTTCTGTGTCTGCTCTTGGCTGTTTTTGTCCTG